CGTTAAGATTGATTATTTTTTAGGTTATGCCAACCAATTTTCCATAATGGTCCAGAGCAATGAATTTTTTGTAAACTACTCTACATTAATTAATTTTCACTAATTTAAGTATTAGACCATGTGAGTGTGCAATGTTCATAAAATAAGGGTACGCTTTTATTATAAGAGTCATATTTAAATGAGAAAATGGCAAATAAAAACTCTCAACATGTGAAATCCTGATTTGGGACCCTCAATTTGAAAAATAAGAAATAAAGACCCGATCTCATATTGGAAATATGAAATCTTGGTGAAATGTCTAAAATGCCTCTTAGCCAAGTAACAAGTTGACTATGGAAAATGATAAGTTCACTTTAGCAAATGACAATTTCAGTAGATCAAATCACACCTTGCTGAGTGTATGTCAAATGATAAGTTGACTATAAGAAATGACAAGTTCACTTTAGCGAATGACAACTTTAGTATACCAAATCACAACCCGGATGAGAGGCATTTCAGTCATTTCGCTAAGATTTCATATTTGCAATATGAAATCGGGTCTTTATTTGTTATTTTTCAAATTGAGGGTCTCAAATCACAATTTCACATATTGAGGATCTTTATTTACCATTTTCTCTATTTAAATCTTTGTTGTGTTGACGTAAATTAACTACACAAAGAAATTACAAAAAGGGGGTATTGGAATGTGCGTAATGGCCTGGTCATGAAAGATAAAAGTTGAATCTTTATTTTTTTAATTATAGAAATTGAATGGATTAGATTTGCAAAAGAAAAATAACATTATCATTTTTCTAAACAAATATACTTATCCAATATTATTTTATTGAAAATCATATTCTTTTATATATTAATGAAAAAGGGGGTTTGTGAGTAATTAATCATGCCTGCTAAAGCATTCCCACTAGAAAAGGCATATTTTCATTTTATATATTTTGCCAACTTGTGCTAGCCAATTCAATTAAGATGACCTATAATTAATTCCTCATTACCAATGGAATTATTATAATCTAAAAAAATGCCGTCTAACTAATACATTATACATATGAGAAAGGGATGAAAAGTGGAAACTAGATTGGTGATTAACCCAATTGAACTGATAATTGAAAGGTCAATTGGTAATTGAGAAATCAAATCATAATTAAAATATAGAAAAAATTTACCCATAATCTTAAAAAGAGCAATTTTAAAGAAAAAAGTATAATCATAAATAAACAAAAAATTCATATATAAATCACATATAATTTAGCAAAACAAATTTTTGAATTAAAATCCAAAGGACCATTAGTTTTTTCTTTTGAACTCAAAATAACATCGCCTTAGGCTCAATACGAGAAAAAAAATAAAATACAATTTGGTTATTCAAAACTTTTGGTATGACCGATAAATCCAAGTTAAGTTTTAATTTGATACATGGTATTTAAGGGTGGAAACAGGCCAAGCCAGGCCAGGCCTTGCTCTTAACAGGCCAGGCCTGTTTTGAAGCCTATTGGCCTGAGCCTGGCCTGTGACCTATTACAGGCTTATTTTTCAGCCTGAGCCTGGCCTGTGTAAAGGCCTGGCCTGGCCTGAAGCCTGTTAAAAGGCCTGTATTTTTAAAAAATTCAAATTATAATAATTATTTTTTTAAAAAAGCTAAGATTAAAAAAAACATACATAATAATTAAATTTTTAGTCTTGTCTTTTATTTAAATTTTAGTATCATAAGTACTATTTTAAATCTTAATTATAATTTATAAGAATGTTATTGAAAACTAATTGTAATTATATGTTAAAATTTAGAATAAGACTACGTTTAAGTACACACAAAAAATTAAAATTAAGACAAATAAATAAAGAGGAAAAAAACTAATTTTATAATGAATAAAGAGGATATCATACTTAAATTAACATAATACTAAGTTAGTTAATTTATCATTCTTGAAACAAAATTTTTCTTTCCTATTTTTTTTATATTTTTAAGATTTAAAAATCACATTATTTATTAATATTATTATTTTAAATTATATTTTTATCTTCACTTGTCATCTAAACTTCAAAATCTAAGAAAAGATTAAGCTATTAACTATATATTAAAATTAAAAAATAAATTAAAAGAGCACATTAACAATAATAGCGTTAATTAATTTTTATATATTATAATTATAAATTCTTAACAGGCCCAGGCTGGCCTAACAGGCTTAACAGGCTTTTTAAAAAGCCTAAGCCTGGCCTGTTTAACTAAACAGGCCTTCAAACAGGCCTGAGCCTGTCTTTTTTGGAAAACAGGCCAGGCCATAGGCCCCTGACAGGCCGCCTGGCCTATTTCCACCCCTAATGGTATTAAAGAATTTCATAAGGCCTGTTTGTTTCTGTTTTCGACTTTCTCAAAAACATTTATAAAATCATTTTTTAAAACAAGTTTTGAAAACAGAAAAAAAAATCTATTTAGATAATTGCTCTGAAAATTGTATTTAAAAATAGGATTACAGGGTGAAACTTCAATGAAAACTCATATTCTCAAGTGAAGAAAATGTTACTAGTGAAAAAAAGAATTTCTCAATTTTTTCGAATAAAAAATAAGAAAACAACTAAAGATCGTTTTCGTTTTTAACTTTTAAAAACAAATTTTTGTATTTTCATTTTAAAAATATTTAACTGAAAATAAGTAATTAAACATTTTTTAAATTTTTTTAAAAAAAACACGAGGCCATAGTTTTTTATTTGTCGTTTTTCAAATTTAGATCTCCCTAATTTATTGACGGCGAGCTGTAAAGCATACGGCCTTATTTTATTCTCTGCTTTCCTTTTCAATATCAGCAAGGGGCAAGCCCATATCCTAATGATAAATACAATACTTTTCTAAAGGCCATTGTAATATTAACATGAACAAAAATTAAAAAATGGAAGAAAGTTACTACAGATTTTTTTTAGCAAACAAAATAAAATAAATCCATGCTCTTTACCATTTTAGAATGGGATCCCTCTCTCTCTCTCTCTAAAATTTTATCATTAAATTAGTTTTTCTTTTGAACAAATGCCAAGTTTAAATCGATCTAAAAAGAACGGGGTCCACACCAAGTCTTCCATAAACGTGACATGAAACCTCTTCACTCAAGAATACGGAAGGTTATCCTAGGAAGCAATTTCTTAAGACAAGAATACCCCTGCGACTCTTCCAAGTTTATCTATTAACGCCATGGGGGTAGTTACGCCTTTTCCCATTTTTGGCTTTCTTCTTACTTTTTCCATTCGCTCATACCAAACAAGCTCCACTAATCATTCTCCGTTTCTTTCTTTTCATGCCAAAGAAAATATGGTCTTCCTTTGACTTATCATGATATGATATAGAAAATGCAATTTTATTATTTTTTTTTTTATTTTTCAAGTTACAAAAAGAGGACGTCATAAAAAAAGATAATTGCTCTCGCTAGTCCTAAACACAGGATTTAGTTGGGGTATATACTTTGATCTTAAATAGAAGACCGTAATCTGTTTTGTCTTTAAAATTTATAATATTTTTTTTCAAGTTATTTCTATTGATTGCCTTTGTACATGAAAATTTTTTCTCATGAATAGGATAATGATCAAATAAGTATTTTAGAAATATTAACACAAATTTATTATGAATAATTACTTAATTAACTTTTTTAATATTTATAAATTAGTTATCTAATTTTCATATTTAAAATTAGAGAGATCGCAATATTATCAAACTTCAAACCAACAACAACAGCGCATCATTACAAATTGCAAATAATATTATAAAGGGTGTGGATGGTGGGTTTACAAGCCAATCTTGGAGGCACGTTCCCCACTAAAAGACTTGGAAAGCAAATTCACCACCTTTTTTCACGAAACACGAGACCAAAAGTGATAGAAATTCTCAATGGCCATGACCAATCTTTACCTTACGTTTGATATATGAGGAAAATAGAGGGAAGGGTGGGAGAAAATTTTTTTTGTGAACTTGATTTAAAAAATTAGAAAAACGAGGTTTTAAAATTTTAATGAAGAGAATGTAAAATAAAAACATAAAAAACCTCAATTAAACTTTTAATTCCACTCCTTTAATTTTTTTAATAAATAATATATCCCATCAAAGTCCTTGTGTAATCATCAAGCAACAGTGGAGAAATCCCATTATTCCTTAAATTCTCAAAGTCATCAACATGATTAATATCAGAAATTTTATATAAGCAGGTAGACGTGGGGCCATGAGGTCTGGCCAAATGTCTATATATATATATATATATATATATTCATATATATAGACATGCCACTTCCCATGGTCTCTACTTTCCAGCAACACATGCATGACATCCATCTCACTGTTATTTACTTTTGTTCTCGTACATAATAGGGTTTAAGGCTTAAAATTTTTAATTAGTATAAAAATAAATATTTTGAAAGGTGCGATTATTTTGGCCGTACATTATTATGATGTTTTCTTTTTTTGGGGGGGGGGGTGGTTTAAATTATCCAACAAATCATCATCATCATCGTTTTCTTGAATGCCCACTCTTCCCGTTCTTTTTCTAAAAAATACTTACTTCTCCGCACGCTCTTCAGGAGCTAACGGACAAGTTTGAAATAAAATTGCACAAAAATGACACGCTATATTTTATCTGACACTTAAATAATATTGTGGTCCCAACGTTTTAAATTTTTAATTATAGTACTTGAAAGGAGGAAAAAAGACAATATATATAAAATTCTAGTCTCTTTATCACACACCTACTGCTTATGATAAAAAATTTTTTTTTTTTAAAAAGATCTAAGCATCATTATCGAGCTCCATTATATTGACGCATTTCCAAGGTAATATTCTCTGAGATCAATGATGTATAATTTTGACCAATCGATAATAAAATAAAAGTAATATATTCAGAAATATAATTATTGCCTGCAAGGGCCATCCATTTATAGGATAAGTTCTCTGTATGATCATCAACTTGTTCGTCCCAAGCTTCACATATACGCACCCATCATTCACAGAAACTTATTCACTTCAAACAGCCACCATGTCTGATAGTTATGAATACTGCACTAAGTTTCTATCATTTCAGTGTATTATCTTCTCCATGTTCTTCTTTCTTGTTGCTTCCTTTACATTTTCTGTTTCCACTGCCATTGAAGATGGTGAAGCAAAAGCTCTGTTGAACTGGAAAGCCAGCCTTACTGAGCAAAGCCAAGCAACGTTGTCTTCGTGGAATAATGGAACTAATCTTTGCAGAACTTGGAAGGGAATTTCATGTGATGAAGAATCCATGTCTGTGATCAATATAAGTCTGTCAAATCTTAGCCTACAAGGTACACTTCACAGTCTCAGCTTTGCTTCGTTTTCCTTCCTAGTTGCAGTATTTTGACCTGGGTTACAACCAATTTTATGGAACCATTCCCCAAGAGATTGGTAACTTGTCCAGTATTTTGAGGTTCAATTTGTCAGAGAATCCTTTAATTACTGGTCCCATTCCTAAAGAAATAGGAGCTTTGAGCACTCTTAGTGTTCTTGATCTTAGTGTATGTAAGCTTACGGATAGAATTCCCAGTGAAATTGGGAACTTGAGGAACCTGACAGATCTAGTGCTTGCTCGAAATTCTCTTTCTGGTTCCATTCCAGAAGAGATTGGAATGTTGAGTAATCTTTTACTACTTGATTTGGCTAGAAACTCCATGTTATCTGGTAGAATCCCGTCATCAATTGGAAACTTGAACTTGTTACAAGAACTTTATATTGATTTTTGCAATCTCTCCGGTCCTATACCAAATGAAATTGGGAAACTCGATTCTCTCACGACAATTTATTTAGAAAGCAATAAAATTTATGGGCCAATCCCTCCCTCTATAGGAAACTTGACAGGTCTCGGGGAGTTGGCCTTGTCAAATAACAGTCTTTATGGTTTAATTCCTCAATCCATTGGAAACTTGATCAATTTACAAGAAATCTATCTGGAATATAACAATCTTTCAGGACCTATTCCTTCCACCATAGGAAACTTGACAAAGCTCGACACTCTAGTATTGATCGAGAACAACCTCAGTGGTCAGCTTCCTCGAGAAATGAACAACATAAGTTGGTATAATTTACAAGTGGGTAATAATCATTTCCAAGGCCAATTGCCACAAGAAATTTGTCAGGGTAGGATGTTAATTAGGTTTGTTGCTCAAAATAACCAGCTCATTGGTCCTATTCCAACTAGTTTGAAGAATTGTTCTAGTTTAAGAAGACTCAGGCTTCAGGGTAACCAACTAGTTGATAATGTAACAGATGCTTTTGGAGTATATCCTGATTTGGACTTCATTGATCTAAGTGGAAATCAATTGTATGGCCACCTTTCATCCAATTGGGGAAGGTGTCAAAATCTCAAGCAATTGTATGTTAACAATAACAAGCTTTCCGGTGATATACCACCAGAACTAGGGAAGGCAGCTAAGCTTGGTGAACTTGACTTGTCTTCAAATCATTTGTATGGACAAATTCCAAAAGAACTAGGCAAGTTGATAATGTTGACGAAACTATTTTTGAGCCACAATAACTTCTCTGGTAATGTCCCCTCAAGTATAAGATCACTCACTCAACTTGAAACATTAGAGTTGGCAACAAATAATTTCTATGGCTTAATCACAAGAGAGCTGGGGAATTAAAAAAGCTTAAAGTTCTTGAACTTGAGTAAGAAACAAATTTGATGGAAGTATTGCCCTTGAGTTTGGTCAACTCCGAGAGCTTGAACAACTTGATCTTAGCACAATTTGCTCAATGGAACAATACCATCAGCGCTTGGCGTGTTACCCAAATTGCAAGTATTGAACCTCTCACATAATGACCTCATTGGTGCCATTCCTTCTGGTTTAGTGGATCAATGTCAACTTTGACTATTATTGACCTATCAAACAATCAATTAGAAGGCCTTGTTCCAAACAAACCAGCCTTTCGAACATTTGAAGGATTGAAGAATAATAAAGGTTTGTGTGGTAATGTCACTGGCTTAAATCCTTGTAGTAATTCTCAAATGAGTCATAAGAGCAAAATCTTCTTGAAGATATTCCTCCCATTAGCAATACTACTACTAATAGTGGTTGGAGCTTCTTTTATCTTTCTCCTACATGTGAGAAAAGCAAAAACCAAAGATGAAGAAGCACAACCACAGGACTTTTATTTTGTATGGAGTTCTAACAGAGAAATATTGTATGAAAATATCATCGAAGCCACAATGAACTTGATTGATATTGTTGGGAAAGGTGGCCAAGGAA